ATGAATGCGATTTTAAAATTTCCTTAATGCGCATACATATTGTACATACATAGTTCAATACAAAAAAACAATCATCATGCTGTTTATACATACTAGCAGCACAATGGTCTATCTTAAGAACTGTCACAAAATGGTCTTAATAGCTAACAGCTTAATATAAAATAGCATTTTTAAATTTTTTCCTAAGTTCTTAATAATAATGTACATAATAAATTCTTACAGCCCGATTCTGAGCACTTGCTGAATTTAACATTTTTTATAATTTGTAAATTTTTACTATTAATCAAGAATCGATATTCTAGCACAGATATCAAAAGCTCTTTTCTTGATAAATTATCAAGATTGAGAATGCTATTGAATTCTCCTTGAATTCCTATATCGTCGACATCTCCACCTACTCGACGACGGCAGTCAAAAGCTTTTTTTGCTTTTAAATTCATATTTTTCAATGCACATTGAACTGGTAGTATCAGTAGAGCAGCTGATTTGCATTTTTTTTTTCAAATTATTTGGTCACGAAACGATGGCTCCAGTACTCTGCTATAAACATCTCCAGATATTTGCATTAAGAGAACGTTTCAAGTGCCTAAGAAATCGCATTGATTTTCAATATTTTTTTGCTGACGGTGTCACGCATTTTCTTCCATACAAAGTACATACATATGTTCCACAACTTTTTTTTTGTATGGAAGAAAATAGTAACACCATACGCAAAAAATTATCAAAAATCAACCCGAACTCCTAGCTATTTGAAACTTGCAGTTTCTTGAGCTACAATTCAAAGGGCTATTAAACTGAATACTTAGATTTTTTTATATTCAACAATTTTATTGAGCTTGTTGAAAAGTTTTTTTTCATTTTTCTACAAAGTTACAATTTCGGACTTACATGGTTTTTGTTAGACAATGAGCTGTATTTTCATAATAATAATAAATATTAAATAAAACAAAATAACCATAGCCAAAACTGGTCAATATTTCGTGTTCTTATTATCTTTCACATGACTGTATCTACATACTTAATTTGTACGCGATTAATTTTCTAAATCAAGAGAACTAACGTTACGAAGAAAGGGTTCCACAACTTCCAAACCTGGCATGCAAATGGCGTAGCTAGGGCTGCCAGATATCTCTGTTGCCAAACCGGGACACTTAGGGAGGGCCTCTCGCTCCCTTCTCTTTCATTTCGACGTGCGAAAGGATGCATTGAAATTTTATTTTGACAGACAAAAACAAAAACATAAAAACATGAGATCATGAGATCATTACAACGTACGCCAACAAAACGAAACAACTTATCACAACTAAAGCACAGAGAATGTTTCACAACCTTTTTTTATTCTTTATAAAAATACAGTTTATACTAAATATATCAAAAAACATAAAAATAACATTGTTAAACTTTGTGCTAAACTCGGGAAAATTCAATAAATTTGCATACAAATTTGCAACATTCTAATCAGACTTTTTATAAAAATTTTTAAAATGAAGTTTTGCAGCCCATTAAATTTTAGTTGATTTTTGGTATTGGTATTTACTGAGAGTTTCTTCCATACAAACTATGTTCGATAATTCTTTTTATATGGAAGACACTGTCAGCAAAAAAAATAAGTGCTAAAAATCAACGAAATTTGCTGGCAACTCCAGACTTGCACTTTATAAATGGCTCAAAAGCTACATTGTCAAAATTTTTCTAAAAGATCTGATTAGAAATTGTGATCTGATGAAAGAGCCTCCGAGCCAATAATTTTATAGGTACTCTAGGTTTCATGAAAGAAAAAAATTTAAGTACAAGATAACATTAAAATATCAGTCATATTTCTTCTTCTTACTTCTGTATTTTCCTTAATATATATGTAAAACTCTGTGCACGTTATTTTGAACGTATTTAGGTACATATACTAATCATCATTGCTTGTGCAAAGTTCAACTATCTCGAAATGTAACTATTTCACAAATTAAACCGGTGCACTGAGAGAAAGAAGTTTAGAATTAAAAAAGCCTGCTAAATTAAAAAATACGCATATGAAAGAGCACCAAACCAACTCGTAATACATTTAAGTATACAAATTTTAGTATTTAGTATAGAAATATTCAATTCAAATACGCCCATATTAAAATGAAGCGATTTGCAATTACCGATTGCCTTTTCATAATTAAGTTAAAAAATATTTAAATTCCATGCTGGTTGTAATGGGAATTGAACCCTGACCCTCTGGAAATTAGCAAATTGTTGCAAGCGTCGTCGCGCACTCAGCTAACGCCAGATATGTAAATGTGCATTTAAATGTTGAGTTTGAATCAACACCACGCGTGCGTGTTATGAAACTATTATTTTTAATTACGAACATTTTTAAACGGTAATCAAATAAAAAATATTCATGTTTACTATGAGTTATTTCCCTCATTGAATTCATAACATTTTTCTGAATATTACAACGCGTTTTTCTCTTAGTGTAGTGATTTTTGAACTTTTATTCAAATTTGTGCAATCAAATCAAAAACCGGGACGCTAAAACGAAACCCGGGACATTTTAACGTTGGACCGGGACACCGGGACAAATAGTCTAAAACCGGGACATGTCCGGGAAAACCGGGACGTCTGGCAGCCCTAGGCATAGCGCTATTTCAGAACAGCGTGATAGGTAAGAATTAAAGCTCAAACAATCAACGACGTAACGTAGACGTTGGTTGACGCTAACACGATCTACCTTATGGGATTCGCTTCTTAACGAAAACTCACCACCGCATGGCGGTGACGTTGCCGTTGCCTCTCTCTCTCTCTCTATCAACAGTAAATTTGATATGCTGCTACGTGCGTCAACCTACTAACTGCGCCATAGTTGCCAACTTGGTGCTTTAAGCACTAGATTTAGTGCTTTTTGAAAATTAAAACACAAAAAAAAAATTATTTAGTGGCTAGTTCTGTTTTTAGTGCTTTTTTTCTGAACTAAAATTACTCCGATATAGTTAAAACCTGAAATAATATTTAAATATTTAAAGCTGTGGCAGCACTGAATTTACAAAAATCTACATTTAAATGCACTTAAATACAACCATGAGTGATAAAAAGCTGAACTTGCAAATTCACCTTTTTCAATTCTATTCGCGTTGAAAATGTTAGTAGATATGCGAGTAAGTTAAGTAATTCTTTTTTTTCTAATTATTTGTAAAAAATTTTATTTTTGTACCTCCTGAGTAAAACACATCGAGATATCCTAACCTCAAAGTGCCAAAATCACGGTTTTTGGCGATATTTGAGGTTATATAATGAAAACATAATTTTTTTTGCTCATTTCTACTTAGGGCATGATTTTCGTTTGTTGGGACTCGATTTTGTTAAATACATACAAACTGTTATGAAAAAAGCATCCATTGATTCAAAACCATTTGGTGCTTTTAGTGTGGTAAAACGCTATTTTTCCAAGTTTTTGGTTCTTTTTGAAAATTAAAACTTGGCAACACTGAACTGCGCTTTTAAGCTCTGTGTATTCAATTATAAGCCCTTTTTTCTTATTTTATTAATTGGCGTATGTACTTTAGGGCTCTTAAAGCACATGTTTCCGTTAACCGACTTTGAAAATTTATCGCAAAGCACCATTTTATGACCAAGCGAACTTATCTAGGCAGAGTGTTGCTTAATAATTTACAAAAAAAAATTCTCCATAAAAATAAGGCGCACACTAATGTACATATGTATGTATAGAGAGAGAAATCCCATTATTGCGTTAACTCTTTTCTTTATGTGCTCATTTTAAGAAATGAACTTCAGCTAAATATTCAACGCTTAATTCGAAGAAACAATTTTAATCGATCATAATTCTTTTCAAAAAATTTACTAAGGAATGCGATTACTTGGTAGAATCTTTTATTTTTCGCATTTAATAAAAGAGAAATCATTATTTATTTATATTTTCCATTTCCCTTTTTATAGAATCTTAATTAAATTTATCGAGATTCATCTCTTCAATTAGCCTTCTATTCAAATCGAATATATACAGCTTTAAGGTGCGCTAACATAACACTTTCATATGCATATGCGTGTTGAATGTCAGCTGTCACAGCCATTAATCACATCTTCATCAAAGTGTCGTCTTAAAATCGGGTACAAACCTACACACATACATACGTGCAGGGAAAAATTCCAGCACAAAGGTGTGTCTTAACACACTGTAGGTGCGAATACACCTTTTTCCCCCTCCGGCTCTTTGCCATCTCAGCCAACTTAATGAAGCTTCTTTATATCGACCAGAACAAATGGGCAAATTTGTGTCATCCGCAATGTTATTTATTTATTTGTGATTTTATCTTTTGTTGTTGCATGTGCTGCGGACATTCTTATGTGGAGTAAGTAGCACGAGAATCATTTCTTCATTTAAGTATAAGTACGTACACACACATATTTTTAGCATAATTGTATTATCATTTTTATTGTTGATAAAAAATCGTGTCACGATAATCATAACAATATGAAATAACTGCGCCCAAATATCCAATAGCATCAAACGGAAACAAAAATAAAAAAAATTTGGTTGCGACACACACTCATTTTCCGGCCTCGACGTCGTTGTCATGCCACACTAACAATTGTATGTGGAAAGAATTGTGGCGGATTAAAGTCACTTACATTCGGTTTCGGTGTATGGCATTTAAAAATTGTTTGCTTTTCTACTTTTATTCGCTACTTCTGAGGGTGATGATTTTTTAATTCAGCATTTCGCTAATATCTCTAGAACATCTTAAGGCGAAATCGGTTTTATACTGTGTCATTGTCCCACATACCTGCAGGCGATTGAGGTCAGAGTGCCAAATAGCATTTAATTGCTTTAAAATAGTGCTGATTAGGAAGATATTTAAGCAATAGGAATATTTATAGTTAAAAGAGAAATTTTATTATGAAATTTTATTGCATTTATATATTGAACATATAAATATTTTAACATTGGTACACCTACTAATGTATGTACATAATTGTTGATTTTTTCTTGTTTATCTTTGCAGTCATGAAAGTGTTATGCCAATGATACCACTTGGCTTGAAGGAAACGAAGGAAATCAGTTTGATGGAACCATTTTCAGATTTAATACTGGAACATTATAGCGAAGAGCCGTCCTTGTATTTGGACGCAATCGCCGATATAACAGACACCAGACAGGTATGTAGCTAAAATGCTTCTCCTAAATACGAAAGACTTAAGTAGCGAACCTGATGTATATATGTATTACATATGAACGTTTGGAATGGTAGCAAATGAACATACAGAGGCGAAAATATAAAGAGGGAAGAGACATTTTAGAATTCTTTGGCTACTTGCCTTTTGATTACTTAACGTTTAGTATTTTCTCGTAATATAGAAAAAACCATGTTAGTAAGAATTTTAAACTTTGTAAAAAATTTGCGAAATTCGACAAAGTTTCATCAAAATTTTTAGCTTTTAAATTCTAATTTTTTAAATTCTTAGAAACATTCTGAGTACGCAGTTTTGTAGCCCACTCTTTTTTATGTGCAAACAAACTTCAAATTTTAAGTAATCGCTAGAACGTACAATTAAATTTTGGCGATTTTTTTTTTTGTGGAAGGTGGTGCTCATTTTCTCGATACAGAAAAAAAAATGGTTCAGTATATTTTGTATGGAAGAAAATGCGTCAACAAGAAATTGCCAAATTGAATGGCCTATAAAAATGCATACTAAAAGTTCCAAATTTTACCAACATATGTTAAAATTCGTCGAATTTTTATTTTTTGATTTAGATGGGTTTTTAATATATTTTCATAAAAAGTAATAAAAACATAGAAAAATAGCCAAAACTTTCTAAAATGTTATGCCAATTCCTAATCAATAAAAACACTTTGCCGAGTTGATAAACTACCAAAAAGTTATGACAAGTTTTTAATTTGCTGAAAACGTACGGACTAGTTCAGTTCTTCACGGTATATTTGAACTCTCACCAAAATATTTTTTCATCGAATCAGGGTTATTTGTCAGCTGGAGTACTAGTAATAGCGTGAAACCCTTTCCCTGTAAAGTGGCATTGACCGTATGTATATATAATGTCAGAGAACAGCTACCCCGTTAGGCGATGTTGAGCTTGAAATATTCAACATAGTTATACTTATATGCCCCTAGTCATTAGACCAGCTGCCCGGTGAAATTACATCCTGATATTTGCAGAAATACGTTACTTGATGCCTTTTTATTATAAAAAAGGTGAAAACGCTGCTAAAGTATGCCGATAAATTTATGAAGTTTATCTTGAAAATTCTTTGAGTGAGTGAATGAGCCAAACACAGCTCGATTCCGTTATGGAAATTTTGATATAAAAAATACCGGTCACTGGAAAAGTCAATGAGATAATGCAAATAGTTGAACAAGACCGGCGTACACGTTGTCAGGAGATAGCATAGGCACTAGACATCAACCACATGATGGTTTGGAATCATCTTAAAAGAACACGCTTCTCAATGAAGCTCCATGGTTGGGGCCACATAAATTAATGCAAAGAAATTTGATTGACCGAATCAGCATCAGTGAAACGCTGCTTAAACCCAACGAAATCTAATCATGTATTGAATCCGAGAGTAAGCATAGCAAGCGACCATGGTAAAGCACCGATGACTTCAGAGCCTAGATTGAAAGGCGTTGAATAAGGTTTTGTTCCATCTTGACAATGATAGAGCACACACATCTTTGATGAATCGGAACAAATTTGACGAAAAAATGGCAAAAGGTCATAGATAATAATGGCCAATATGTGCTTGATTAAAATTTATTTGCAATCAAGTTTTTTTTTTTCAAATACCTACCCACAAATCCGCGAAGAATGTTCACCATTCTATTCTGCCCCATGAGCTATTACGCCGCCACCAGGACTATGCTAACATCAGAACACCGCCCCATAAGCACTTCGGTCTATAAATCTGCCTACTTTGTTTCCCCGAATCACCACACCCATAAAAACTGCAACAAAGGATATTCTAAAACTGGTAAACCAACGAAAGAAAAAGTGTGGGAATAGCACTTAGCAACGATATTTACCAACTGGACAAAAGGGGTCAGACTGCAGCTGGGAATTCCTGTCGAGGACATACCATTCCGACAGTGAACCACCGGAAAGGTCATAGTCTTACTGCCTATTCTTTTTCTCCATGCACGTCCGCTATTGCCAATCAAGTATAGAACCTCAGCATTGTCCTCAAATCGCTCATCAGAGCACTTGGACTAAGACAAAGAAACATAGGCAGACCGGACCGAAATCCAGCTGCGCCGGTTTGGTCACCGGGGACTACAGTGAACGTACCTGCCAGAACACCGCGCAACACACTGCAACAGATGTCTTCTGACGTAGCCGGAATATCATCTACATAGCGATGGTGAGATGCTTCCACTGACGGGGTTAACATACGTGCGACGATCATTGGACCCGCGCTGTGCAGACAAGCAATTAACCTCATTCACAGAGGGGCTATCGTCAGCTTCACCAACTTTTAACCACCACCCAATGCAATAGAGTAACTTCAGTTTCCTATATAGACCTACACTAATGTTGCGCAAATACGATCTTCGATTCCTTTGTAAAAACACGTTTCATGGACGGTCTTAATAGCCGCTAAAACAAAAATAACCTTTACCAAGGATATTTTCTCTTTCTCGAAAAAAGATTCCCAGCTACATGTAAACTTCCTTGAAGAAAACTCCGATTTCTGTTAAGGTTCTTAAAACGAATTAAACTGAACTGAGGCAAAATATTTTGGTGGGAGTGACAAAACTGGCAAACATTTTTTTTTAAATGCGTTCAGGTTAACATATGTGTGCACTTACATATCACTCATCCTCAACAAAAAAAGGCACACCTCCGAGCTAAAAAAAATCTTACTACTCTTAAGTGGCTTATGTACCTAGTCCTTGTCTAATCCATTTTTAATCCTTACTAAAGTAAGTACTAAGGATTCCCAAAGTAAGTAGTAAAGGTTAGACATTCAACAGTAGTATTTTTTTTATTTTTTTGAATTTGGAGTTGTGCCTCTTTTGTGGAGGGTGTGCGATATACATTTTAATAATTATTAATATTTGTATTGTACTTTACAGGCATCCAGAACCCCATCGCGCGATGCACAAGGCGTAGCCTTACTTTTCCGATACTATAATTTGTTGTATTATGTGGAGCGGAGATTCTTTCCGCCAGATCGAAACTTGGGCGTTTACTTCGAGTGGTACGATTCACTAACTGGTGAGTAACTCGAAGTAAAAAAGTAATAAAAAAATTTAAAAAAATATAAGTCTTACTGTGGGTTTCACGAAAGCAATTTAAGCTAATAATGATTTTTTTCTGTCAGTCTCCATATTAAATCCAATTAAAAAATAATTTTTCACTTAAATTGCTTCGTGAAACAGGCTATTAAAGTCGTACAATTTTTAATTGTAGAATAGCTTTTAAAGGGTTTTTAGGGAATTTGTAACTGCACCAAAACATTTTTGAATGAATGGAAAATATATAATTAGATCTTATTATGAACTGTGAAATCCCTAAAACCATTTTAACAAGTTATTTTACATTGAAAATTTTTACGTCATTAAAAAAGACATTGCGACGCTTCAAACGTCTTGTGAAAATATAAATTTTAGTTGCCAGCCTTTTGTGAAGAAGTAACTTGAAATTTGAAACACTTAATTCACCAATATTTTAGGAAAAAGTTGTGTGTGTAGAGATCCCACGCGCGATTGAAGTAAAACTTGTTCTACTATCGCTTGTATCGATCACCATCTCTATTTTAATCTCAATATTAATTTTAATCTAAGATTCAATCTTAACTTAAATCATAGCCTTAATTTTTGTCTTAATTGTAATCCTAATTCTAATCTTAATCTTAATTTTAATATTAGTTTTAGTCCTAATATTAAGCTTAGTCTTAACCTTAACTATAATCTTAATCTTAATCGTAATCATAATCTTAATCTTAGTCTTAATCATAATGATAAACTTAATCAGAATCTTAGTCTTAACAGTCTTAACCTTAATCTAAGTCTTAATCTTCATCCTAGTGTTGATCCTAATATTAATCTTGTTCTTAATCTAAATCTTAATCTTAATATTAATTTTAATCACAATCGTAATCCTTTTGTTATTATTAATTTAAACCTTAATCTAAGTCTTAATCTAAATCTTAATTATAAACTTAGTGCTATTATTTATCTTAATCTTATTCTTAATTTAAATCTTAATCTTAATCATAATCTTAATCTTAAATCCTAATCTTCATCTTAGTCTTATTTAAAGTCTTAATTTTATGCTTAGTCATAGTCTTAATTTATATATTTTGCTTAATTTGAATCTTAATTGGGCCTAATCGACACCGCAATCACCTCCCCTCCCCTCCCTCTTCTGACGCTTTTTTGTCTCATTGGGGCTTGGAATTAGAGCCCAAAGTGCGTGTGTTTCTGTAAACGTATAATACTTTAAAAACAATTAACTATTAACATATTCCTTAATAAATCCATTTTCTTATCATTGCACACACAGGCGTACCCTCCTGTCAGCGTACGATTGCTTTCGAGAAGGCCTGCACCCTCTTCAATTTGGGCGCCATCTACACACAAATCGGTGCACGCCACGATCGCACCACCGAAAAGGGTTTGGATGCAGCAGTGGATAGTTTTCTGCGTGCCGCCGGCATTTTTCGACACATCTACGACACATTCACCAACGCCCCCTCCATGGATCTGAAGCCACAGGTGCTAGATGTACTGGTCTCGTTAATGTTGTCACAAGCGCGTGAATGTCTCTTCGAGAAGTTGCAGCTGCAAATTGAGGCGCTTGGCCTCACCGAATCCAGTCATGTAAGTTTTACTACTTTGACTTATGCCCACTGATTAAACTTGATTTTTGATTTTTGAAAAATATTTTCAATTTTTCTTTTTTGTCCCCTACACATTTTCTACATTGCAGCTTTTCAAAGACTTGGCGGGCGAAGCAGCACAACTAACGCTCGAATACAATGAAATGCACAAAAATATACAAATGAATGACACGCACACATACTTGCCGGAGTGTTGGGCCGGGCTGGTGCCGCTCAAAGCTGAATTCTATAAAGGTAATTTATGGCCAGCGTTGCACTTGCCGCCGCTACGGCCGAATGCAGCTGCAACAGCGATTCGAGAATGTCGTAAGCATGCTGAAGCGCGCATGGAATGCGAGTGGATTGCCTTGTCCAATCGACGTTTGCCAACATAAATACATACAAACAAATGTTTCTGTGTGCGCACGTGCATATTTACTCGCTGCATATTTCAATAATAAATAATCTTAAGCTTTACTAATCGGTCGTCACCTTGTTTACTTATGCTCTGTTGTTTTTCTTTCCCCTCTTTGTCTCTACACTGTCACTGCATTGCGCACTTGCAGCACTTGCCCACCACTACGAAGCATGCAGTCTTGACATCACCGCCGACAAAACATCGCTCAGCACAAAGAAGACGCAAGCCGCCTCACATGGCGGTACCGCCAACGAGTCATTTATTGGTAATGCGCGGGAGGCATTACGCGCTGCTGCCGCTGCCATTGAGGAGAGTGAGGAAGATGCAGCCAGTGCGACAGCACTGAAACGCGCCCATCTGAAGGAAGCGCTCGCTAGTCATGAAGAAACGCAACGCCTGCAGCGCATGTGCCGATTTTTGAAGGTGAGTTGATGAGACGGCATAGCGATTTGTAATTTTGTTGTAATTGTATGTACATTAGGGTGGAGCGTAAACAACAAATTTTGCTATTCGAAAATCTAAAAGCGGGAAATTATTGCCCTTGGACGTCAATAGAATACGTACTCGAAAAATTTTTTTTAAGCGGTTAATATTTCCTGGCTAACTTTTTTGATTGAAGTTTTAAGATTTTTGTTAATTCTAAACAAATAACGTAATCTATCAAAGTAATTTTTAGAAAAATTCTAGATATACGATCCAGCGCTATTAGAATTTCGAAACGCAAAATTTTTTGTTTCCACTCCATCCTAATGCACATACTTATATATGACTGCTGTGCTGCTAATTGCAGCTGCACCATACTTACAATTAATAAATTAATGCCATTCAACATTGTTGACATTTGACATTAGATAATCATAATTTACGTGGTGATGGCACTCCACGAGACGCCCACAACTTACAGCTTTAAATGGTGTNAATAACGTAATCTATCAAAGTAATTTTTAGAAAAATTCTAGATATACGATTCAGCGCTATTAGAATTTCGAAACGCTATTTTTTTTGTTTCCACTCCATCCTAATGCACATACTTATATATGACTGCTGTGCTGCTAATTGCAGCTGCACCATACTTACAATTCATAAATTAATGCCATTCAACATTGTTGACATTTGACATTAGATAATCATAATGTACGTGGTGATGGCACTCCACGAGACGCCCACAACTTACAGCTTTAAATGGTGCACATTACCATTTTTGAGGTAGCACAAGCGATATGTGGTGATAAAGATTAATTTATAGTCGGCCTTAACTTCTTGTCGACTTCTATGGCAACATAAAAATATTTGCTATTTTCTGAAAATTTATTTAATTACGCTAAAGTGATGTCTGTTGAAAACTTTTTGCTATGCTTGTCGATTAATATGTTGGCGAAATATATATATTTCCTAAACTTCTTCACTTTCTTGTCTGGCGATGCAGCCACCTACGCGACTTTTGTCGAATCCAAGTAAGCACTCCAGTTTTTTCTCTTTTGTACCAAGTAACGCCAGTTGCCAATTCTAATTGACACCAGGGTCGTCATCAAAAGAAGGATTCTTATCCAAGGCTTAATTTTCCATTTCATAGGAACAGACGCTGCAAACTTAAGGGGAATTTCAAACCGAAAACGCGGCAGTGGCTAAATCAAGGCTCATATATTTCTGACATGACCCAAGTCTCCATACAGACCAGAACCAGCGTTTTCCGATCGATTTTCAAGAATTCCATACCAAAGAAAAGTTGTTTTTTTTTCATATAAAATACATGGACAACTTTGAGCGACCTCTAAATATTGTTTGATTTCAAAAAAAAAAAAAAATGTGCATTCAAATTCCGACTTTACTTGTTTTTAACGTAGCTGCTTGCCCATCTCTGGTCTGGATTGCGCTCATAAACGAACTGGTGCGTAAGTTATGACATGGCTGCATGGTAAAGGGAAGGCTTCTGGATGCCCTTTATGACCTTATCCAAGGCAAGCTAAACTTAATGATTAAATAGTCTGCAAGCCATTAAACCAAGTAACAGAGAAGACATAAGTTTCCCTATACTGCTGTGGGAGAATGATTTTTAAAAAAGGAACCTATCTTCCAAAAGTAATTCCTAGTTTCATATTAAGTCTTACACACTCCAGACCACACTCCACTCTATGTACTGTTTTCAAATGGCTGCCATTAAGGAAGCTGTCGATTGAGNCCATTTCATAGGAACAGACGCTGCAAACTTAAGGGGAATTTCAAACCGAATACGCGGCAGTGGCTAAATTAAGGCCCATGCCTTTCTGACATGACCCAAGTCTCCATACAGACCAGAACCAGCGTTTTCCGATCGATTTTCAAGAATTCCATACCAAAGAAAAGTTTTTTTCCCCATATAAAATACATGGACAACTTTGAGCGACCTCTAAATATGTTTTGATTGCAAAATAAAAAAATACGGGTATTTTTTTACATAGAACAATCCTACAGGGTGAGAGCATTCAAATTCCAGCTTTACTTGTTTTGGACCAACCTAATGTAGCTGCTTGCCTACCTCTGGTCTGGATTGTGCTCATAAACGAACTGGTGTGTACGTTATGACATGGCTGCATGGTAAATGGTAGACTTCTGGATGCCCTTTATGACCTGATCCAAGGCTAGCTAAACTTGATGATTAAATAGTCTGCAAGCCATTAAATCGAGTAACACAGAAGACATAGGTTTCCCTATACTGCTGTGGGAGAATGATTTTTAAAAGATGAACCTATCTTCCACGATTAATTCCTAGTTTCATTTAAATCTTAATGGTGCACAGACGAATCGAAGCTGGACGAAAGAGTCATTGAGAGTCGGCTCTCCATACACCTCAACTCAAAGTGTTCAGACCACACTCTATGTAATGTTTTCAAATGGTTGCCATTAAGGAAGCTGTCGATTGAATGCCCAAATATGTAATGTTAGTTTGGGAGGTAAGAAACTGCTCTAATAGTTACGCTCCAATCGGGCCACTAATGGGAAGTTCAAAATTAGTCATAAAATTTCTGACCTCTGTTACGGTCCCGTCAGATTTTTTTTGCCAATTATAGTTAAATTAGTACCCGGTTACAGGAATACTGCAGTTAACTGTGTGGTGGATAATTTGATTGAGGTCTCATAAATCAAATAAAAAGTAAGATCACCTTTCACTAGCTGCGGACTAGTTGGGGACAGATGAGCCACAAAACACCTCAGCGGACGCTGGGAGAAAAACAGAACATGTGCAACGGCAAGGTGACTCCCGACCGAGATTAGCTGTAGGCGGTCAAGAGGCTTTTTAGTTACCCATATACGCAACTATTTGTGGAAGGCTTTGCAGAAAATTGTCAGGGTCCACTGTGACTCAGTNCAAAATTAGTCATAAAATTTCTGACCTCTGTTACGGTCCCGTCAGATTTTGTTTGCCAATTATAGTTAAATTAGTACCCGGTTACAGGAATACCGCAGTTAACTGTGTGGTGGATAATTTGATTAGGAAGAGTACTCTCGAGGTCTCATAAATCAAATAAAAAGTAAGAGCACCTTTCACTAGCTGCGGACTAGTTGGGGACAGATGAGCCCCAAAACACCTCAGCGGACGCTGGGCGAAAAACAGAACATGTGCAACGGCAAGGTGATTCCCGACCGGGATTAGCTGTAGGTGGTCAAGGGGCTTTTACCCATATACGCAACTATTTGTGGAAGGCTTTGCAGAAAATTGTCAAGGTCCACTGTGACTCAGGAGGATGACGAGGTGGAATTATCTCAGAACTTTATCATATGACGTCCAACCTTTGTGAGCCTAAGGTTTAAATACCATGGCTGTCATTTTCTCAACAGCCCTTCCAACCTCTCAGTGACTGGCCTGAGATGTTTGCGAAGCCTTATTTGAGCTTAACAGTTACCCTTCATAACGTAGCGCACAGAGCTTAAAAAAGTGGTTGAATGATATAAATATATAGGCAGTTGCTAAGAAGTAACTGGGATTTTTAAACCAACTGAGCTTCTCATCTGGACCTTTTCACTGAGTATTCGACTCTCAACACCAAATGTTTCCTAGTCTGTCCCTCTCGTTCCAAAACGGTTCGGGCTGGCTCATTTTAATTTAGAGAACAGGCGCAAACTGACTATAAAACACGCAGTGTATCTAAAGCACATTCCATGCATGGGCGAATTTCTGCCACGAAAAAAATATTCACACAAAAACAGCAATGTCTGATAAGGACCCAGATTTTAAGGCTTGGTATGATGTTTCCACTTAGGGCCAGTTTCTCAATGTGTGGTTAACACTAACTTCAAGTTAAACATGGTTATCGACGTTATCGGTTCCCTGTTATATGTTATGGAGTTGATAACATCGATAGCGATGCTCAACCTGCAGTTAGTGTTAGCCAGACATTCAGAAACTGCTTTATCGACTTTTAATTGATTGCCTATTTATTATAAGCATATGATTGCCACACCGGTTATTTTAACAGACAGTCTAGAAAACCTAAGAGCCGCTTTTTATTATGCTTTTATTTATTTCAGAACAAACTAAGTCTGACGCAGGTCTTAAAGGAGGCCCACTATAAAACGCAAGACGAGTACGAGAAATTTCTTGAAGAAACGCCAGCAAACGATATCCAGGATGATTTTCATGTGATAGATGTTATCACAGAGGGTAAGTACCCTTCACAGTTTCAATAAAGAGTCATCCTTACATGGAAAAGTACCGGTACTTGACATATTACCTACCCGTCACAAAGAGAACATACCAGCCTTAGTTCCGGTTCTGGAAACTACCGGCAACTTTAAAATGAGGTTGTTATTGAAGGTGACCATATAGAGACTTTTAGGGCAGAACTGTTATAACTTCAGAGACCCAAATTCGAGTCCTGCGTGTGATTGCTAAGACGTCGTTTTTTTAATATCGCTGGCGTCATGCTTTTGCTGTTCAGCCGGCTTTTTTCGGCAGCGTTAAAAACTTGAATTTACAGAAAAATTAATAACTACCATCTACATCACCCAGAGTAGGTCTAGTAGTGGCACCATTTTCTTCTATCTACTGACACGTTGGAATCAATTGCCACCGTTTTCCTTACTCTGTGCTAAGTTTTACAAGCTCTCAGTGCGTTAAGCATTATTTAAATGTACAGAGATAAACAAGAACTCAGGGATGAACATTTCAAAACAATAAGTTTGAAATCTCTTATTTACTCTCTTCTTTCATCCTCTTATTCTCTACTCCACAGCCTGTTCAAAGTTCACACTTTCGCTAACTGGCCCCGATTTTACGTCGCACAAAGTAGAGGATCCCTTCAAACGCCTTGGACCCATTGCGATTTTTTCAGCGCGTCGTCACTGGACCGCGCCACGCTGTGTACGCCTGCAAAAAGGTTCGTCCATATATCATGAGAATGCATCCACACATTATCGTTGCCACTGTCCGACACCAAACGAAGGTCATGAAGTTGGCTGCAGTCAATATAAAGAGGAATTAGAAAGTTTCGGGTTTCATGTGCGAGGCGATGCACCGGTAATTATCGCGCATGTGGAAATCAATTCCCTGGCTGATGTAAGTATCTGCTGCCAATATGAATTGCAGTAATTCGAATATTTACAAAATAACATAAATTCAGAAATATCTAAAAAAGAATAATATAAAAATTCGCTAATGCGCTTTTCCGTACTTTTTCGCAGCTGGGCGGCATTAAAGAGGGCGATTTCATTGTGGAAATTGCTGGCATGGACGTGAAATGGTATTCACATCAGCAGGTCGTCCGTCTAATACAATCCTGTGGCAGCACATTAGAATTGAAAGTCATTACGCCTATGGATAGGAATTACCTGAAGGTAGGTAAAAAACAAATCCCTGCCAGATTGAAAATTGAAACACTATTTCTTCGTATCTTTCTCTGCATAGCCCCTATCGTCTAAAGGCTCTATTTCCACGCTATCTGCGGCCAGTTCGTCCGGCGTCTCGTCAGGTTCATCCAGCCCTACTGGCACAACAACAAAACCAAAACCACGCTTCAAAACTACATCACCAAAAAGTCGTCTTGGTAGTCTATCATCGAGCTCTTGGAATCCCTTTCGACGTACGCCAAGTCTGGCGAAAATATTCTAAAACACATTCGCGAACAGTGCAGTGCAACAAAATAGAACAACAGTAAAATACAAAATACAAAAATTCCATTGGTGGCCATTTTGTGTGTTTGGCGAAATAACCAGCCGCATGCACTTTCAATTTTTCAATTACTTAATATAAATATTTATGTATATAATTAGAGTATATACAATGTATGTATGTAATTTTGTTTAGAAATATGTTTGTAAGTTTATATCTTTGATTTTCTTTTATTTTGAAAAAGAAAACAAAAGATTTTTGAGTTGGTGTTTTTTTGTTTGCAATGATATCGTTTTCCCATATTTCGTTTTGTCTCCATGCTGCTATAATTTCGTTTATTTTCTGGGTTATGGAAAATATTTGTTAATTGTAAATTATATGCAAAAGATATATGTATGTATATTGAAAGTTTTTTTTTTAATATTCTTATTTTTATATGCACACATATTGTGCTTTTAGTTGTATGTGTATTGACGTTTTTAAACGAAAGAAAATTAGTGTTAAGACAGAGTGCTTCCTTCCGCAGTAAAAATAGCAGACTTTTTCAAAAATTAACAAGTAATTTTTAAGCAAACAACAAAACCGACTTCAATTCTCATACAAAAAAATATAAGAGTACCTTTAATTTCTTCATGATCCAATGATCGGATATACACCAAATTAGTATGGTACCACCTCTGAGATACCACCTTTCCGCTAAAAAAAGAATTATAGAAATCGGTTAACGTGTTCCAATTGATAACCTCCTCCTTTCTTTTGAATTCGGTTAAAAAGAAAAGAAAACAACAAGAACTAGAAATATGTATTTGTATATGTCTTTTTTTCAAACGGACGAGATGAGGAAGTTTTGTAGTGCAAAGCCAATATTTACTACTAATTTGTTAGTAATCAAAATATAATACATATAAAATTATGTAATATGTATAAAGCTTTTGAGAAGCTTAAAATATTCATTCTTTTTAACGCCATTAAAAAATGAAAATGGCATGCGATTTATTAAATATGTATGTTGTGCACAAAATATTTAGGACCCATAGTAAATATGTATATGCATGTACATATACATATATGTAGGTATATATAACTATATACAAATGTACGCATTTACTGTATCATACATACATATGTATAATTATTATATTTTAATGTAAAATAAATAATATTCATTTAATAAACAATTTGCCTTTGTTATTCACAAAAACTACTTAAAAAAAACTACGGGGACAAAAATTAATTTTGGTAATCTTTTTCGCTTTTAAAACCTTCCTCATAATCCTAGATGCATTAGCCCTGAAACAGCATCCTGACTTGGCATACATTTTTCGATCTTTTGGGAAAGCAACGCTTACATACATATTTGGTAGTAACATCACAAACTTGTAGGATATTTTTTTTTATAACTTCGTTCCTTGGGCTCGAAATTGTTACCCCAAAATATTGGTTACAAAATATTTGTTAAATTTTAGTATAATAAAGTGCAAGTTTGAAGTAGCTAGGACTTACCGTTGGTTTTTGGGAACTTCCTTTGTTTACGGTGTTGCGAATTTTTTTATCAAAGTATATTCGACAATTTTTTATATGAAAGAAAATGAGCAGCACCTTCCACTTACACCTGATTGTATTCCATTTTATTGAGCTACAAAACTGCATCCCAAAAATTTTTCTAAAGTTGCTGATTAAAAAATTTTAAGTTTTCCTGAATTCTCACAGTTTTTGCACAAGTCCGAAATTAGGATCTAGGTTTTTGTTAAGACATCAGCTTTACTTTCATTAAAAAATAAATAACATTAAATAAACGAAAGAAAAATAAGCAAACCTTGCTTAAATATCGCGTCCCAATTTATATTTTGATCACTGTATGTGTTCCACGATTCGAGCTGTTAAGGCGTCGAAAATCAACAACCGAATATGATATAGAAACAGGACTTCAAAAGAAATACAAAACATTTGGCGTCCCGTATGAAATAAATAAATTACCAGATCAATTGGCGAAAAAAATGGGGAACAGTCTCCAGTACAAGAAAGGCGTAATTATAAGCAAAATACATACCTCTTTGATGCAGAAATGTCCAGAGTTCATTCACTCTTAAGCCCCGTATACAGCTCCCAGGAAAAATTAAAAATGCATATAAAATAACGTTCAAGAAATTAATTGCATAAAAATATTTGCAAGCCACAAATATCATCCTCGAAGATCGGAAAGAGCCATTAACGTCCGCAATATATAGCTTACCAAAAAACACAATCAGCGCGGAGGAATATGAAAAGTTCTTCAAAATTTCGGGAGCATGTTTATTGCCGGAGGCGAATATAACGCGAAACACATATTCTGGGGTTCTCCTGATATAACCTAATTACAAGCAGTTTAATTCAGCAATTACCTCAGGAGGACATCACTTTTCTGACTCATGTATTTGATGCAGTTCTCGCAACAGGCTTTCCACCGCCCAATTGGAAAGTTTCACAAAAATAATAATACACAAACACGGAAAAAGCGCAGGTAAAGTTAGATTATGCAGATTAATTAGTTTACTATCAATTGTATCCAAGGTCATGGAAGTGCTTTTCCTTAAATGGATACTTCCAGTTATAGAATCAACAATTTTTCTTCAGAAAAGGCCACAGTACAATTGAACAAGTTCACAGACTGGTTGATACAATTCACTCTGCTTTCGAACAAAAAAAAAAAAAACTATTGCATTGTCGCATTTCTCGCAAGCGNATCAATTGTATCCAAGGTCATGGAAGTGCTTTTCCTTAAATGGATACTTCGAGTTATAGAATCACCAATTTTTCTTCAGAAAAGGCCACAGTACAATTGAACAAGTTCACAGGCTGGTCGAAACAATTCACACGGCTTTCGAACACAAAAAAAAACTATTGCACTGTCGCGTTTCTCGTTCGCATTCGACCGCGTCTACCACAAAGGTAAGGCAAGCTGGACTTTTGCCATCGAAAACGGATATCGTCCATTTTGGCAGTTTCTCGCAGCTGGAACTAGTTCAGATATGGCACGCATATTTAATATTCACTTATCCCTAAGTATATTTTAGCTCGCTTCCTAGGTCCTTTTTAAATTTCCTTAATAAGCTAGCTTTAAAACTTTCAAAAAAATTATATAGAATTTCAAGTGAAACTGGCTCATAAATTTCACTAGATATATAAAAATTCGAAGCAATGCTTGGCCACAGATATATTGAAAAACTGGCCAACATTCAGAATTTTTTCTTACAAATTAATTTTTTTTGCATTGTATCTACTTTAACTTTTCCCATGACAGCTATGAATCTGCGTAATTGCTTTTTCAGAATTCTCTAATCCGTTTTTTATTACTTTTGGCCGCTNTCTACTTTAACTTTTCCCATGACAGCTATGAATCTGCGTAATTGCTTTTTAAGAATTCTCTAATCCGTTTTTTATTACTTTTGGCCGCTGTAGTACCATTGTGTGACGTTGTTTGGCCGAGCTTTTCCTGCGATTTGTGGCGTGCACTTTGACGTTGTCACACCTATAGTTTTACGCCGGCGATTGTATTTTTATGAGAAGCTGTTTTTCATGGGAGAAAAACATCGGAGGTTTGCGATTGCCTGCCGAGTGGCGACCGCTGAAAAGAAAAAAATCCTTTTTCTATGTATATATATTTTTTGCGATGTTGCTTTGGCCAGGGCTTGAAAGCAGGGCCCGCGGAGTACAAGCGCGCACTGCTTACCACTACACGCGGCCGCCCTCTACATATTCGCGAATTTAATACTCTATTATAACTTTCGACGAGTCTTTACATTTTCCCAGTAATTTGATAGGGGCTCGGTTATTGGAGGATAATCATCTCCTGAAAGTAGCTCGAGAAAGGAGTAGATTGGCTTCATTGATTACTCTTTTATAGTGGCGACCTGTGCTTGAAGGGCGATCCAGTAGTCTGGCAATATAAAACACAGATAATCTAAGGGTTCTTTCAAATACATATCGATAGCTTAGAGTGATAAGTTGCTAGGTCCACTTTTTATGAAAACTCATATTTTAATACAGGAGGCTAGAGAAATTGAAAATACATCCTTTATGTTCCGAAAATTGGATAGGGCCAAAAAAGTACGAAATCTTTTAATAAAAATCGACTCCCTCCTCTGATTCGTATGAAGTTTTGCTTTGCCAAAAATTTTGTATTCAAAGTTTTACGAAATACTTCAAGAAAATGGTTATACGAAGTTATTTCCTCTCCTGTAAAATTATTAAATTGGGACTTAGCTACTTTTCACTCTGAGCTAGCGAAATAGAACGGAATACTCTTTCTAGTCGCAGATTTCTTCAACAAATCCTGGACAGTTTCTGAACAAGAAATATTTAACTAAGTTATGCAATTCTAACGGTAGGGAAATATTTAAAAAGCTAGTGCATTTACTTGTGAAATGAATTTTTTTAGGTTTTCGGTACTGAAGCCTAGCATATTTTGCTATGCTGATCGAAGCTCTGAATCCGACGATCTCTAGAATCTAATGAAAGTAGCAAGTAAAGCAGAACACTCAATTTTCACTACATTTAAAATTGTTCATAGATGACGATTTCTTTTATTAATTTAATAATTATATTATTTAATAATAATCTTTATTAATCATATTATAATATTTGTATTTTATTTCTTCTTCATATTATAGTTATTTATGTATGTATGTATGCCATGTATATTTTGTATCATTTTGTTGATATTTATTGAAGATCGTTACATAATTTTATTTGAGTTGCTATTAGTTATGTTTATGTTTAACTTAGTTTAATTTTAATAAGAATAATAATCATAATTGTAATAACCATCATCCTTTATAATCAACTGGTTGCATAGACAATCTTTTTTGATTATACTAGAGCATCACAATGGTATTAATAAATATATATGTGGTTAGCAATAAAATTAACAAATAACTTAGAAAATAAGTCGTAAGAAAAGATAGATTAGAATTTCATTTATTTATGTTGGTATGTATTTTGTCAGTACGTACTATATTTTCTATTCAAATCGACTTAGTATCGTATTTTATCTCTTATTGTTTTAGTAGATATTTTTTTATTTTTTTGCACACTCACATTGGAAAATTATGTACTAAGTTTAAATGTTGCGACAATATCACGACCAATGACATCTACTAATTAATATTTGTTTACAGTTTTATAAATATTGCGATTTATTGTTGCATAT